CCTGGTGGCCCTTCTCTGGACTTGTTCTAGCTGCTCCAGGTCTCTCTTGTGATGTGGGCTCCAGAACTGTTCAGCTGGGCAGTAGTGGGAAGGGAGGGATCTCCCTTTGTTTGAGCCTCCTCAGGAAGCTGCTGTTCCACTCCCTGGTCCCTGGGCTGCAGTCCCTCTCCTGGATCCCGGGGCAGATGCCTCCCTCCCCTGATTCTTCGCAGGCGCTGGGTCTGGGCTTGTTGCAGCCTTTTGCCCCAAAGGACTCTGTGGCTGCTCTGGGGATGGTGCTCGCTGCTGCCGTGGTCCCCAGTGCTCTCTCAGCTTCCCTGGGGTTGGGGTGAGGGGTGATCTGGGGGACAGCTGTTTGTAGAGTACTAAACAATCTTCTGTTTCTCCAGGTCCAGGAGTGCGGAAGAAAATCAAGGGCTCCAAAGATGGGAAGAAAAAGGGGAAGGGGAAAAAAATGGCAGGCTTGAAATTCCGGTTTGGAGGAATCCCCAGCAAAAGGAAAAAGGGCTCCTCTGTAAGTGTGTGCTGCCTCTTTCTGCCCGGGGCCTTGGTGTGGGGTGCAGGGGACAAACCCCCCCAGAAGCCTCCCTTGTGTGTGGGTGTCACAGCCTTGTTCATGCCCCTCTGTGAGGTACCAGTCTGACCAGCACACCCAGAGAGCTGTGTCCAGGCTGGGGTGTGTAAAGACATCGTGTCTGGGCACCATTTCTGTTAAAATCCTCTCACCACGGTTCCTTTCAGCAATGAGGTTGGTGATGCCATCGTTTCAGATTCCATTTGCAAAGGAATTCTGCAGGGCTCACACTCCAGCTGAACCGTAGTCAAAGAGAATTCCTGAATGCTTTAATTACCTTATCATAGCCTGCTCCAGGCATCTGTCATCCCCCAGCATAGCCCAGGGGTACCAGAGCTTCCCAGTAAGAGCGTGGCTACTGGGTTCTACTGCAGCTTGTGTGCTGTGCTCTTGTCAGCACACGAGTATCAGGCACATTTTAAAGAATAAATCTCTTAAATAACTATTGATCAGGGATGCTCAAAGCCTCATCCAGCCTGGCCTTGAACAATTCCAGGGAGGAGCAGCACCTCTCATGGAGATCTTGATAATATTATTGATCCAAATGCCATTATTTCTCCCTCGTTGGAGCTCCCTGACTCTGTAGCTCTAGTTCACAGGGCATTAACCTGTTTGTGAATTCCTTTGGGCAGCAGAGGCTGAAGCGAGAGGAGCAGTGTGAGTTTTTTCAGCCCCACATCACGGACAATTCACCCTGTCCCCGGGTGCACTCGGGATCTGTGCATCCGCTTCTCTGGGGGTTACAGGGAGCCTGGGCTTGCTGCTGCAGCTGGAGCACTAAGCTGATTAAGAGTGTGCAAATCAGGGATTTGCATGCCTGAGTCTCCAGAATAAGAATTCCCACGTGTTGTTATGTTTGAACGCTGGGCCTGTTGAACTCCTCTCACGTTATAAGGAAGGTCAAGCGTGAACGCCTACGTGCACGCACACCAACGGGCTGCCACGAGCTGGAACGGGTGGAGAGACAGAGAGAGAGGGAGTAAAGCTCTGCCAAGCAGTGGGGAAGGGGGCCCTTGGCTGCAGAGGGGTGGGAGTAGGGGGTCATCTCCCAGTGTGTCTCTGTTTTGGGTGTCTGCACCCGGGGTAACGCTGGCACAAGCAGCTGGATGATGCCTGAGAGATGCTGAGCCTTCCCTGATGTTCCTGGCCATGTGCTGGCGGGGAGAGCAGGCTGCAGGGCAAACCCAGAGCCCACCTCTCATCAGGGAGGCCGAGCAGGGACTTGACATGTTGATTGATGTATTTTAAATGGGCTCTGAGATGAGCTTGGTGACTGTGCTGAGCAGGGCAAGGTAATTGCCTTCAGATCTGTGCTGGGGACTGGGACATGGATCTGAGAGAGATTTCCCTGTGTCCTAATGCCTTGGGACACGCTGCTCTGAACCCCACACTCACCGTGCTGCCATCCCTGCTGCTCTGGCCAGTCTGTCCCTGTGGAAGGGAGGGTGACCCGAGGGGCTCAGCCACTGGTCGATGATCCCAGCTGGGTTTAGTGGGTCTTTGGGGGTTTATTCCGTGTCAGAGCGGTGTTCTCTGGGAGGGAGCACTGGGATGCCAGTGCTGGGACTGTGTGTGCTTTGATTTTCCCCTCTGCAGAGCGAAGAGGAGGAACGGGAGGAATCCGACTTCGACAGTGCCAGCATCAACAGCTCCTCAGTGCGCTCCGAGTGCTCGGCTGGCCTGGGGAAGAGAGGGAAGAGGAGGAGAAAGAAAAAGAGGAGTAGGCCATCCTTTGTGCTCTCTCCCTGTTCTGTTTGGATTGCCCTCTTCACATGGTGCTTCCTGGCCTTGGCAGCTCCAGACCGTGTCTGGTGCTGGCTGGGTGGGAGAGGACGTGCTTGTGCTTGTCGGTGTGTGTGGAGCACGAGGGGCTCTCGTGGTGTCCAGGCTCTGCTGCTGGAGGGCTCGTGCCTGCAGGGAGGTGGCGAGTGGATCCTGCTGCGGGTCACTGACTGGTCCCCATGGTGCCAGTGGCAGTGGAGCTGCTGGTGACAGGGCTTTCCCATGGATCCGCAGTCAGCCTTCCCTCCACGCCTCTCTCCAGCCACCAGCCACTGCCTGGGGCTCGTCAGTCCCCAAGCCAGCTCTGTGTCACTGCTTGGAGTTGCTCTGGGAGAGCGGTGGTTGTGGTGCTGTGGCGCACAGAACAGCCTGCCCCGTCTCACTGCCTGCTGGCAGCCTCAGCCACCCAGGGCAACCGAGGCCCCTGCCCACCCCAGGGCCCTGCCTGTGCCTTGGGCACTGGGCTGTGCCACGGGCAGCGTGGGCAGCTGGCACTCCGCCTGCACGTGTGATCCTGCCAGGATTTGTCCTCTAGCAGCCAGATTCCAGAACTTGTGGGGCTTCCAGAGAAGTGATTTTCTGAGGAGCAGCCCCTGGAGAGACTTGGCTTGTGGCAAGCTCCCAGGGGAGCAGGACAGGCGGCGGTTGGGAAAGCCTCGAGACCAGGGACTGTCTGTGTGAGGTGTGCAGTCGGCAGGGCAGGGTGTAGGTCTGTGGTAGCGATATAGGAAGAGGGAGGCACGTGAACCGTGGTGGAAAGCATCTGTTGGGGTCTCCCAGTGGTTGTGTGGCCACGTTTGAGTGTGTATTCCTTCATCCCTTCCCTCGTGGGAGGCTGCGGGTGGATCCTGCACGGTGGCACCTCCGTCCCTGTGCTGCTGTGGAGAGTGGCCCCCGTGGTTCGAGCTGTCCCAGGCCCTGCTCCGGTTCTGAGTGCCGGGGGGCACTGCTGGGGCTGGTGCTGCTGGCCCTGCCTGGCTTCCCACGCTGTCTCTGCCTCCCGTGCCGTTGCAGGACATGCGCTGCCTTTCTGCCTTGTGTTGGGGATGAGATGCTTCAGATCCAGGCTCATCCTTTGGCTCCTTAGCTTTGCCGATGGGTTTTAGCTTCCAAGACCTGGCAGGGCGGTGTCTGGGCTGGGGGACAGTTAGGATGTGATGCTGGCAGGGCTGGCTGGCTGGCTCCATGTCTGTGTGTGAAGGGCATCGCTGCTCCTCCCGGGTTGTTGCCGTACCAGGGCCCTCGTGCCGGAGCTGGGCAGCTCCTGCTGTGTGCTGAAGGAGCAGAAGGTTGGTGGAACACGCTGGGAGTTTGTGGCAGAGCTGGGAATTGAGACGAGCCCTTGCAATGCTTGCAAGGCCTTGTCCCTCCCTTCCTCTTCCCCTCTGTGCCAAGTTGAGAGAGCTCCTGCCAGTGAGCAGCCAGGAAGAGCAGAGTAGTCCCAGGAGAGGAGCCCTCCTCCTCCTCCTCGGCCCCGTCACCCTTGCATGGTGCGTTTGCAGTTGGTGGTGCTGGTACCTGGGGAGGTTTCTCTGACTGGCCTCCCTTGCAACCTCTCCAGGTTCTGGCATTCTCCATTGAGAGCCTGAAGGAACCAAAGGATGATACAGTGTGGAGAGAGAAAGAGAGACAGAGGTGAGATGATGCTGTGTGCAAAGATGAACTGTGGTGCTGAGGGACAGAGAGGTAGGGGGACGTAACAGGAGGGGTCTGAGGTGAAACACTTTCCTTATCTCCTTAACTGTATCGTAGAGGAGCAAGTGTCCCGTTCCCTCCCAGGAGAGCTGGCAGCTCTGCTGTCCCTCTGACTCCATGCCTGTCCCTTGCTTGCAGTTGAAGAAGGAGATGGGTATGAGACAGACCACCAGGACTACTGCGAGGTGTGCCAGCAGGGAGGGGAGATCATCCTGTGTGACACCTGCCCCCGCGCCTACCACCTCGTCTGCCTGGACCCCGAGCTGGAGAAGGCCCCCGAGGGGAAGTGGAGCTGCCCCCACTGCGTGAGTGGGGTTGGGGCCTCGTGGGTGCAGGTGGGTGGCAGTGGAAACCCTCAGCGTTATGCTGGCTGTGCCTCCCCAGGAGAAGGAGGGCATCCAGTGGGAGCCAAAGGAGGAGGAGGAGGAGGAAGAGGAAGGCGGTGAGGAGGAAGAGGACGACCACATGGAGTTCTGCCGGGTCTGTAAGGATGGAGGGGAGCTGCTGTGCTGTGACACCTGCCCGTCCTCCTACCACCTGCACTGCCTGAACCCGCCGCTGCCCGAAATACCAAACGGTGAATGGCTCTGCCCTCGCTGTACAGTGAGTGTTACCAGCATTCCTCGCCCCGTCAGCGGGTCTGCCGGCCACCACCGCCCCTCACACCCTCTCCCCAGGCTCTGCCGTGGGGCTGGGGTCCTGCCCTCTGCCACAGACCCCCTCCCTGGAGGAGCATCACTGCCAGTCGTGTGCCCCCAAGGGCTCTGGACGGCTCTGCCACCTCGTGGTCTCCCCGTGGTGGGGATTGCTGGTGGGCAGCTTCCCTCCCAGTTTTTAGGTGGGATGTCAAGCCCCATTTGCTGCATGGCCGCTGTAGAGGGGCCTTTCTTGCCTGGTGACAAGACACGTCCCTGTGGGGGATGCAGCAAGGAGCATCACTGCCAGTCGTGTGCCCCCAAGGGCTCTGGACGGCTCTGCCACCTCGTGGTCTCCCCGTGGTGGGGATTGCTGGTGGGCAGCTTCCCTCCCAGTTTTTAGGTGGGATGTCAAGCCCCATTTGCTGCATGGCCGCTGTAGAGGGACCTTTCTTGCCTGGTGACAAGACACGTCCCTGTGGGGGATGCAGCAGTGTCACGGGCGCTTCTTGGACGTGCCTGCGCTGGCCAACCTCTGCCCAGCCCGCAGCCCCTCACCCCCTCCTCTCTGTGCCCTGTCACAAATCACGAGCGAGTGGCTCTGCCTGGGACCTGGGCAGCACTTTGCTGAGATGGATGGGGGCAGGGTCTGGGACACTTTGTGTCACCCAGGTCACCGTGCTTGGCTCCCCATGGTCTTTCTGCCCTGGGCTTTCCCTTGGCCGCGGTTTCGGCGCAGGCTGTGCTGGTGTGCTCCCCGGAGCCCTGGCTGTGCTCTCCCTGCTGTGCCAGGACAGCTGCCATCTGCTTGGCACTGCAAGTCCCTGTCTGCCCTTCTCCCCACGGCCCCTGACAGGGACTCACCTTAAACACTCTGCTCTTGCCTGTTTGCTTTTTGTCCCCAGTGCCCTCCCTTGAAGGGCAAAGTCCAACGCATCCTGCACTGGGCCTGGAAGGAGCCGCCGGCCGCCCCGCTCCCCGCCGTGCTGCCCACCACAGACACGGATCTGGCTCTGCCCCCACCCAAGGTGCTGGAGGGGATCCCGGAGCGCGAGTTCTTCGTGAAGTGGGCAGGGCTGTCCTACTGGCACTGCTCCTGGGTCAAGGAGCTGCAGGTGAGCCAGCGTGGTGTTCTCCTCCTCATCGTCGTGCCGCTGCCCCGGCCCCCGTGGGCTGAGCGTGGCTCTGTCCTCCCGCAGCTGGAGCTCTACCACACCGTCATGTACCGCAACTACCAGCGGAAGAACGACATGGATGAGCCACCAGCCTTTGACTACGGCTCTGGGGATGAGGACAGCCAGAGGGAGAAGCGGAAGAACAAAGACCCTCAGTACGCCAAGATGGAGGAGCGGTTCTACCGCTACGGCATCAAACCCGAGTGGATGATGATCCACCGCATCCTGAACCACAGGTGAGGGGCTGCGTGCGGGGCGGCACGTCAGCGGGCCGTGGGAGGGCGCGTGGTGACTCCCTTACGGAGCCTTGGTGTTTGTGAAAAGAGATTTCCTGCCTATGACATGCTGTGCAGGTGGGTTTTTTTACATTGAGCAGCTAGAGACACCTTTTGGTTGAGTTTTCACATTTCAAACGGCATCTCGGCGTGAAGGCAGCTTGGTGGCAAATGAGTAAAGCTGCCTGGGTAATTTTCACGTGAGCTTTACATTGTCTGCTAATAAGTCAAGGGTTTTTTCCCCAAAGGCATCTAATCAGGCTCGGTGGTGTGTTTATTCATTTTTCAGTGTAAGCAAAACTTCCCAGAGCAGCCAGTGGTGCAGGAGGAGGAGAGCGGGTGCTGGTGTTCATCCAGTCCTGGTGAAACAGGAAAATGAGGTGGTTTAGGGGAATGGGAGAGCAGCCTTTAAAGCTTAGTGGTTGTCCTGTGACACCTGTGATGGGACAATGATCCAACACACGCAGCAGATCAATAGGCATTTCTGGCAGAAAGTGTAGATATTTTCTGTATGTTTTTCTGCCTCTGCCTGGCTGTTGTGGTCTGTAGGTAAAAGCAGAGGATGAAGCATCCAGTTCTGTGGAAGCAGGTTATGGGGTAGCTGCTTCCCAGGGGTTGGCCAAGTGTCATTTCACTGACAGGCTTTTCATACCTTGTGTTACAGCTTTGATAAAAAGGGAGACATCCATTACCTGATCAAGTGGAAAGACCTGCCCTACGACCAGTGCACCTGGGAGATCGATGAGATAGACATCCCCTACTATGAAAACCTCAAACACCTCTACTGGAACCACAGGTACGAGCCAGCTGGGCAGTGGGACGGCAGCCAGGCTGCTGCAGCAGGGTCCCAGCACTCTGATATCAGAGATTGCTGTTCTTCATTTTGGGTGATGTCACATGAACTGTTGGAAGGGGAAAATTTAACACTCTCTGAGTGCCTGTGGTAACTGGGCCAGAAAAGCTGCTGTTGGGGGAGAGGCAGTGGAGTTTGAGAGGCATTTCTGTCCCTCAGCTTGGGGACTGGGAGAGGAATGCCCACCTGCCTTCTCCTGATGTGCCCTGGCTGTTGCAGGGAGCTGATGCTGGGGGAGGACACGCGCCCTCTGAAGAAGCTGAACAAGAAAGGGAAAAAGCTGAAAGAGGAGAAGCTGGAAAAGCCTCCAGAAACACCTCTCGTGGATGTGAGTAGGAATGGTGGGGGCAGCTCAACGGTGTGTGAGCCTGGAGCGAGGGATGTCTGTCTGGCCACCCCATCCTGTTACATTTTTCTCCTCTAGTTCTTTCCTGATTGTTTTTTTTTAATTCAAAGCCTCGAGGGGCTTCGCTCAGGTGTGGAACCTGAGGGTTGGGCTGCGCTGGGGACCACATCTGCATCTCTGTGGGGGCTGTTTGGTGTCACAAGGCTGAGGAGGGAAAGATTCTGGCTGCAGAAAAAGAAGGGGAGTTGGTCCTCACTGCTTTGCATCGTGTCTCTCTCTTCTCAGCCGACGGTGAAGTTTGACAAGCAGCCGTGGTACATCGACGCCACGGGAGGCACGCTCCATCCTTACCAGCTGGAGGGGCTGAACTGGCTGAGATTTTCTTGGGCCCAAGGGACAGATACAATCCTGGCTGATGAGATGGGGCTGGGGAAGACTGTGCAGACTATTGTGTTCTTGTATTCCCTGTACAAGGAGGTGAGTGGAGCACCCAGCAGTCCCCGAGGTGGCTGAGAGCTGCTTGGTGCAGGGAGAACAACTTGGACTTTATCTCCCCGAGCAGGGCCACTCGAAAGGGCCGTATCTGGTCAGCGCCCCCCTCTCCACCATCATCAACTGGGAGCGTGAGTTTGAGATGTGGGCACCCGACTTCTACGTCGTGACCTACACGGGGGACAAAGAAAGCCGGTCTGTCATCAGGGAGAATGAGTTTTCTTTTGAAGACAACGCCATCCGAAGCGGAAAGAAGGTTTTCCGGATGAAGGTGGGAGCTGAGTCTGTACTTTAACCATCAGCAAGAAGGGGAGAGAGCAGGATTTGACCTGGAGAGGGAGGTTGGAGAGGTCCTTCCCCAGGTGTTTTCCAAAGAGGGAAGCACTGTTTACAATTGCAGGAGACTGGTGATGAGCTTTAAAGATTTCTGCCAGACCTTTTCTCTTTCTGTAGTCCCCTGCTTGGTTCTAACGTTCAGCTGGGTACAGATTTTCTGCTGGCATGACTCGTGCCTCAGCCCTGCTGCTGGCGCTGTGCAGGGCAGTGCAGGCAGCCCCTCCCTTTCTCCTTGGCTCATGTACAGCAGCAGCAAAGGTGGAGGCTGTCCCCTTCCCTGCTCTCTTAGCCAGGCTTTTCTCTCCCTCTGCTCCTCCAGAAAGAAGCCCAGATCAAGTTCCATGTCCTGCTCACCTCCTATGAACTGATCACTATTGACCAGGCAGTGCTGGGCTCCATAGAGTGGGCCTGTCTGGTGGTGGATGAAGCTCACAGGCTGAAGAACAACCAGTCCAAAGTAGGTAGCAGATGTTTGTGAGTGATTTTTGTGGTGTGGCTGGTGCCACAGAGATAGGAAACCCCAGCACTGGTGGTCTGCGGCTCCTCATGTTCCTCCTTGGGAGATGAAAGGTGTCCTCACCTCACACAAGCTCCACATTTCAGTGGGGTTGTTCTCTTTAACATCCTCTGGCATTAAAAATCCTTCAGCAGTGGAAGAGGTGGCAGCCTGGTAGTCCTTGGATGGGCTGTTGTGGAAGGGAATCGATCCCTCTCCTTCCTGTCCCCTTACCTGTGGCTAGATGCAGCCTCTGTCCCCGGGGACCTTCCCGCAGTCCCTGGTGTGGGGGGAGGCAGGCAGTGTGACCCTGGGACACTCAGGATTGCTGGGATGAGGATGGCTCGGAGCAGGACATGCCAGCTGTGGTCTGGCTGTGTGTGCCCCGCGGGGGGGAGAGGTCACCGCTGAGTCCCCGTGTGCGCCGTCTGCAGAATCCCCAGCTGACTAATTGGCTCACTGAGCTCTTTTCACCTCACCTCATTTCTTTTCCCAGTTCTTTAGAGTATTAAATAGCTACAAGATCGATTACAAGCTGCTGCTCACTGGGACTCCTCTCCAGAACAACTTGGAAGAGCTCTTCCACTTGCTCAATTTCCTGACTCCCGAGAGGTTTAAGTAAGTCGTGCTCGTTCCCCTCTGAACGGGGAGCAGCCAGGACCTGGTCTCGCTGCCCGGTGGGGTGGCTCAGCAGAGCTCTTCCAGTTTCCCCCAGGCTCCTGGCTGTGTGGGAGTGCCTGGTCCCAGTTACTGCTGTCCCCGTGTCACTGATCTGTGCCGGCAGGCAGATGGCAAAGCGCTTCGCCCCCGTGGTTTGTCAGAGCAGCTCCACGTGCGTTTTATGTAACTCCACATCCAAAGGTCCCGTGGAGCACTGCTCTCTCTGTGGGTCCTGTGGGGCAGCTCTTGCCTTGCTGTGGGTCAGATTTGTGAGTGAGCAGCTGAAACCTGCCCTCTCTTCCCTCTCCCTGAGGAGACAGAGGTACTTTGGGGAGCTTGTTCAGACCTCGTATTAGTGCATGTAGTGTGAATTTCCCCCCAGCCATCCGTGCAGCTCCTCGGTCTGGCTTTTGCTCTGCTCAGATACAGGCACGGGAGCGTTACCTCACTGTACACCATGGAGCTCTGCCCTTGTTTCTCAGTCATAAAGAAGCAGATATCTTTGCTCTCACGTGTCCTGTTATCTCTCAGCACCGTGTGGTTCTGGCTGCTTTCACAGTAACCTGGAGGGGTTCCTGGAGGAGTTTGCAGACATCTCCAAGGAGGACCAGATCAAAAAGCTCCATGATCTGCTGGGTCCCCACATGCTGCGGCGGCTCAAGGCAGATGTGTTCAAGAACATGCCGGCCAAGACGGAGCTGATCGTGAGAGTGGAGCTGAGCCAGATGCAGAAGTGAGTAATTCCAGCGCAGCTCCCGTGGGGTGTCTGCCTTCCTTCCCCCCACCTCATCTGCAGCACAGCGGGGTGTCAGTGGGGTTCAGCTGGTCAGAGACACCCCGCTGTCCTCAGCACTGCTGCGGGGAGAGCTGGAGCGCTTTGTGTCCCAGCAGGGAGTGTGCTCAGCCTGGTTAAACTGGGCTGGGTGCAGTCCTGGCTGCTCAGCGGGAAGCGTGTGGTGTGTGCCAGGCTGTCAGCGTGGCTCTGCTGGTTCTGGGGGCACAGAGAAAACACTGGGGCTGAACCCCCTTCTCCTGCTCTCGGCACTGGGGCACCAGCCTGTGCTGCCAGCTTGCCTGGCATCGGTCTGGAGCATCACTGCTGCCCCAGGGGGTGCTTGCTCAGCTCCATTTGTTTTGGGCTGACTTGCTCAGCTTCAGCAGCACCTTCTGCTGAGATTGGGGGACTTGCAGGGAAGGGCACGTCCCTTCTTCCAGGCACGGAGGGGCAAGGCTTGGCTTACACCCTGCAGTGGGGGGTGTTCCTGGCTGCTGTGCCCCTGTGTCTGTCCTGCTTACAGGGGCTGGGGTGTCCAGAGAGCAACCGAATAAACCCGGCCCTGGGCTCAGGGAGCTAAAGTGTCACTTTTTAAAACATCCAAATGTCCCTTTTGAAGCTCCAGTGATGCAAGTGGGGTTTAATTCAGGGCTGTCCTGTTTATCCCAGTCCCACACCTCACCGAATTAACAAGGGTGTCTGTCCCATCCCCGTTCCTGCAGGAAATACTACAAGTTCATACTGACGAGGAATTTCGAAGCCCTGAATTCGAAAGGTGGTGGGAACCAGGTCTCACTGCTGAACATCATGATGGACCTGAAGAAGTGCTGTAATCACCCGTACCTCTTCCCTGTGGCGGCCGTGGTGGGTCCCCTGTGTTTGCACTGTGAAGATGTTTCTCAGAATATTCTGTGTAAGCTGTCGGTGGGGCAGTTTCCATGATCTTAGGTTAATGGTTTGGGTTTTCATGTGAGTAGTTTCATAAGAGGGTTTTGTCTTTGAAATGCATGTGAATTTCTCTGTGGGTTTAACCAGTGTTGCCCCTGAAGAAGCTAACCAGGATGCCTTCACAGGAGGCCCCCGTTCTGCCCAATGGATCCTACGATGGGAATTCTTTGGTCAAATCTTCTGGCAAACTGATGCTGCTCCAAAAGATGCTGAAGAAGTTACGAGATGGGGGTCACAGAGTTCTGATCTTCTCCCAGGTGAGCCTAGGGAAGGACTAATAATAAATACACTTTTAAAGGATTTTTTCTGTTCTGTATGAGAATTTTGTGCTAGGAACAGATAGAGATGGGTGGAAGAGCTGGTGACAGCTTATCCCCCAGACAGGGTGGCAGCTGTGGCAGTCATGATGGATGGACTGTGTCCCAGCTCTCCCGAGGGAGCGCCTGTGATGTTTAAAACCTCTTTTATCTGTGGATGAGGAGGAGATGGCAGTAACAGTGCTGCCCTTTGGGGAGGCCATAATTTTGTGCTAGGAACAGATAGAGATGGGTGGAAGAGCTGGTGACAGCTTATCCCCCAGACAGGGTGGCAGCTGTGGCAGTCATGATGGATGGACTGTGTCCCAGCTCTCCCGAGGGAGCGCCTGTGATGTTTAAAACCTCTTTTATCTGTGGATGAGGAGGAGATGGCAGTAACAGTGCTGCCCTTTGGGGAGGCCATGCAGACACCACTCCCTCGTGCTGGCAAAGCTGCCTGTAGAAGATGAGGCACAAGTGTTGCTCCTCTGGCAGTTGCCTGTTGGCCGAGCTTTGCCCTTGGTGCTGCCGTCACCTTGGCCTCTGGGCTGCAGGCAGGGTCCTGGCTGGGGCAGGACAGGTCCTGGGGGGACAGGGGGGAACTGGGCTGTGCAGAGCTGCTCGTGCCAGGGCTGCCTTGTCTGCAGATGACGAAGATGCTGGACTTGCTGGAGGATTTCCTGGAGTACGAAGGCTACAAGTATGAGCGGATCGACGGGGGCATCACGGGCGGCCTGCGCCAGGAGGCCATCGACAGGTTTAACGGTACTCGCCTTCCTGCCTGGCCCAGGAGGGCTGCGGGCTGGGTGGGCAGCGGGGTGGGCAGCGGGGTTGGCAGTGGGGTCAGCAGCGGCAGCGGGGTTGGCTGGGTGTGCCCCTGTCACGACCGG